TGTTGTATTTGTCTGTTTATTACACAACTTTGTAAACTGTAACATCGTTAACTCTAAAATACATGTAGGAATAGATGACAATATGGAATAGACAAATCAAGCAAATTATAATTCTTGTTGAAGCCATGTCCACCATTGTCCACCATGTTTGAGCTTCGTAGACTAAAAATTTACAAGAATATTTGGTACTTAAATCATTCCTTTTATAATTTCCTTACGATAATGTATGTCAGTATGTTTATGTGTGCATGTTAATGATTAATAACCCTCAAATTAGTTTTATTCCAACATTACATCCCCCCAAAGATAGAAAGAGATTCGAAAATCTAAGTATACACATCATAGCATTTGCCCGTATGGCAGCCATATTGGATTTGACCATTGTAACAGCCCAAAGAAACCTCAAATCGATGTAAGAACATCATAATCAGATTCTCTGACCCCGAAAACCCCATAAATATATAAACTTTTATCATACTAGCTCTTTCCCTTTTGGAACTACACTTGATCTTTAGCTCAAATGGCGGCCATTTTGGATTTGCCCAATATGGCGGCTCCAGGGGGCGCCCTTCTTGGCGCCCGGCAGAAATCGTAATAGTATGGTATAAGCTACCTCTGGACCAAATTTGGTACTTTTAGAAGAATCTGCACCAAAATATCTCTAACAGACCTGACTATATATAATTAATATAATTAGTAAAACGTAACACAGTATCGTGTCCACGGGATACTGTAAACAGTGAGGGGGCCGATAAATTATAGAGCCGGACATAACACCACGTACGCTACACCGATAACAGTGGCGTCACCGCCGATCGGCAGTGACGTCAGAGGTCACTCACGCTGCTCGCACGACGGGCCGTGCCATCCGGGAGAACATCCGGTCAGACAGGAACCGTCTTCCTGACAGCTGGCATCCCCAAACAGGCAGTGACAGTGTTTGTCGCAGGCGTCGCCATAGCGACCCGTCCGACAGACCGACGCTGTAAGCACACACGTCATGATGACGTCACTCACGAATCAGACGAATCGATCGATAATCAATCAAAGTTCAATTAGCGATCCTAACCCCCTATCGAATTTCCCTAACGTTACAACAAAGTAAGAAAGCAACACAGTAAGAAATGGGAATTTTAACCATGTAATGCAACTGAACGATAAATATGTGGGCATTACAACTCTATGCTTACAAAAATAAAGGTGCTTATAGAATTCTAATCCCAAGGATATGGTGGTTAACCCTATAAAACCACTAAATCTAATAGTGAAGACCCTACACATAAATAATACCAGGAAAGTCATCATATAGACAGTAATATAGATCTATATAGATATCTAAATATATATCTAAATATAATTATATATCTAATACTAGCGGGATACCCGGCGTTGCCCGGGAAAATCAGTGCCGTTACTCAGTTAGTTGGTTGAAAGAAAAATTCCCAAAAAATCTAACTATCTATTTATCCATGCATCCATCCATGCATCTATCCATCCATCCCATTCCATGCCAACCCATCCCATCCCATCGCACCGCATCCCATCCCATCTTTAATGTTGAGTTAATACCTACATTATATTAATGTTGAGTTAATACCTACATGATATTAATGTTGAGTTAATACCTCATTATATTAATGTTGAGTTAATACTTACATTATAATAACGTTGAGTAATACTTACAATAATTATGTTAATGTTGAGTTAATACCTACATGATGTTAACGTTAAGGATACTCTCAAGGTTTTAGGAAAATGTTTACCGATTTTTCATTTTCAACTTTATTCGATAGCTAACACTATGTGCTACCTGTGTACATGCTCATTTCTTTATATAACGGTACATGTGAACTGTCAGAGCGTTTTGCTTGCCCGCGTACATGTGTAGTGAGCCGCGGCTGACGTCAGAAAACGCTGATTTCTCCGTTCCAATTTCTGACTTAGTAGTCGATGTATAAATGGATATTTCTCTGTGATTACAACTCGGAATAATTTAATTTTACACTCGTTTTAATGGTAACATATTGCTGTAAAAAAGCGTAAAATTGTTATTAAGTGCTGTATTTTATGAGTTATGTCTCCTTATTCGCAAAAAAATTAAATTCAAACGTGCAACTTGAATTTTAGGCAGTTTTTTTTAATCTTTTTCGGTAAATATGAAACTTAAAGAAAAATATTGATGCGCTATTTTGGTACATATAGTGCTTAACATGTGGCGAAAATTTTGTATCCTCACTCTTTCTGGTAATTGAGAAATATCCAAAATACCATTTTTATATAAAAATTCAAAATTTGTGTGGTAACATAATTAGGTGCTGGAAATTTCATGAAACTTTTTGCCTTGAGCATAGAGATATATCTCCTCTATAAATAACACAAGTGATTGATTCGATTCATTCGTCAATAAACGTTTAATCTTCATTAGAGCAATACCCGTGCAAAAGTTTGAGAGTATCCTTAAGTTAATACCTACATTATATTAATGTTGAGTTAATACTTACATTATGTTAATGTTGAGTTAATACTTACA